ACTGTATGGACTATGCCCAACGATGTCAACCATGTCAATTTCACGCAAACTTCATTCACCAATCACCCGAGCCGTTACATCCCACTGTTGCTTCATGGCCGTTTGATGCTTGGGGACTTGATGTGGTAGGACCTATGACAAAGTCTTCTGGTGGTCACTTATACATTTTGGCTGCAACGGATTATTTCTCTAAGTGGGCTGAAGCAGTGCCTCTCAAGGAGGTGAAGAAAGAAAATGTCGCCGACTTCATCCGCATTAATATCATCTATCGTTATGGGATCCCTCGATATATAATAACGGATAATGGAAAACCGTTTTCAAACAGTCACATTGACAAGCTTTGCGAAAAATTTGGCTTCAAGCAGCGAAAGTCTTCCATGTATAACGCTGCGGCTAATGGACTTGCTGAAGCATTCAATAAGACTTTGTGTAATTTGCTGAAGAAAGTGGTCGCAAAATCAAAACGAGATTGGCATGAGAGGATTGGAGAAGCTTTGTGGGCATACCGAACCACTTATAGAACACCAACTCAAGCCACTCCTTATGCACTTGTCTATGGCGTGGAAGCAGTTGTTCCCCTTGAGCAGCAAATTCCATCATTGAGGATAGCATTGCAAGAAGGATTGACGGAAGAAGAAAATGCACGTCTTCGCCTTGAGGAGTTGGAGGCTCTCGATGAGAAAAGACTGGAAGCTCAGCAAAGATTGGAATGTTACCAAGCACGTCTCTCTAAGGCATTTAACAAGAAAGTTCGATCGCGCTCCTTTCAAGTTGGTGATTTAGTTCTTGCTGTGAGAAGGCCGATTGTGATGACACATCGTGTTGGGAATAAGTTCATGCCAAAGTGGGATGGTCCATATGTTGTGAGAGATGTTTATACCAATGGCGCGTACAAGGTAGTAGCCGAAGACGGTCTGGTAGTTGGTCCTATCAATGGGAAGTTCTTGAAACGCTATTATGCGTGAATGTACATGTATGTAAATAAAAAGCAAAAAAAAAAAACAAAAAAAAACAAAACAAAAAAAAACAAAAAATGAAGAAACTCCTGACCCGCATGAGTATAAACTGTGAACGGTAATCACCAAAAAGCTTTGCATGTGATTAAACTGCTAAAATTCTCCACCAATGTGAATATATGTGGTTAAACTGTTAATTCTCCACTAAGGTGTTATGTGGTTAAACCTAATACTCTACTTTGTCTAAAAGTAGTTAAAGAATAGTCACTCCTGGCCCGCATGAGTATAAACTGTGTACGGCACCCCCTCTAAACAAATCCATGTTACTTTGAACTACGTTATGACTTGATCCTTTTAAAAGGTACGTAGGCAGCTTAGATAAATTTCTAAGTTCAGTCATATATTTTTAAAGAAGATTATTTTGTTCTCTTATTAAGTTGATTGAGGATGAAATAAAGTAAGTATGCAGTCTCAAACTTTTAACGAGGCAAAAAGAATGACAAAGAGAGGAATTTTATTGATCTTTCAAGAATAAGCAATAGTCATTGCATCAAGTTCCTATGACATTGCTAAACAAGAAAACGAAAGTTCTTTAACTCTTCTCTAGCAGTTTCTAAATCTACTGTCACAGTCTTCAAATTCTCATCCGACTCGTCACTCGCTGGAAGTTTACTTTCAAAGGTGGATATCTCTTCTTCAATGCTAGCGACTTCCCCTTGAACACTTTTGAGAAGCTCTTGGTGATGTTTTAGAGAATCCATCAAGTCTTTCCTTCGCTTCTGCAAATCATCAATCTCTTTTTGGGTGGTGAGAATTTGAGTAGACTCTTTCTCTTCCTTGCCTTTCGCAGCGCCTAAACGATCTCTGGCTTCTTCTAGTTGACGTGCAAGCATTTCTTTAGAGGGCCTTTCGGAAGACCTTGATCTTGCCTCATCAAATGAGGCAACCTTGTCAAAAAACTCTTCCAAGGCTACCTCCACAAATGAGATGTCCAAAGTGGCCATTTTCCGCATGAACTTCAATACAACGTAGACTTCGTCTTGAATGGATGATAAAGATGAAGATGGGGTGGCAGAAATCTTGTCTTGAAGGTCGGTCCATACTTCATGGAGAAACTTCCTCTCAAGTTTGAGGGAGAGCTTCTCGCCGTCTAGTACCGAATGAGCCGCACAGTGAGATGGTTGAAAATGCTCGTCCGGATGGTCAGACCGTTTGGATGAGGAGACTGACTGTTGGTTGCTCTGTGGTTTGTCCATCGCGCCATAAAGATGTTTCTCCAACTGCAAAGATCCATTGAGAAAGCAAATTAAATAAAGAAAGACGAAGTATGAAAAATTGAGATTAAGCAGGAAAACTTAGAAAAGAAAAAAAAAAATAAATAAATAAAAAAAAAAAACCTCTTCAACAACATCTCTTGATTGATGACTTGTTGCTTGGATGTTCTTCTTTGATGGCTCAGAAGGTGTGGGATTCTTCTTTAGTCTCTTGAAGTGACGATCGGCGTTGCTGCTGCTGCTTTCATCATCAAAAAGAATAACTCCTTGTCTCTTATCGACCTTGCGAGATTGAACAACACGATTCTCAGTAGAAGGAAGATTGGGCCCACTCGAATTTCCATTGGTATGCTTCACGGATGGACGGTCGTCTTTCTCGATGGGACGATTGGCTTTCAGTACCACTCTCTTCGGTTTTGAGGCGATTAAACTCCCAATATTTTCTTCGAAGAAGTTCCCGTGGACTTTGCTCCACCATTCCTTATATTCATCAGTTGAAAAAGTCTTTGCATTGGTGGGAACACAAGGGAGCCATGCTCTAGAAAAGGTCTCCATAGATGTGCACATTCGCCAGTAACGGAGCCCTTCCTCTAAGGAACTTGTGCGCACGTCTTGTTTAAGTACTCCGGGTAAGTCTTGAAGGTATCCAAATTGACGACTAAATCTATGTGGACTGTAGGGCTCAATTGAAAAAAGACCGCCTTGCCTCAAAGTTAGGTAATTCGAGCGAATGGCGAGGAATACGTCTTTCTCGAAAGATGTGACATTTCCGTTGTCAACAAAATGAAAGTCTCTAGTCTTCGTGATCATGGTGCACGTCCAAGAGATCAAGTCGCCTTTATGAATTCGCTTTCGAGCTTCTTTCGGTTCAAAATATTTTGCGTTTCCCTCACCAGAATAAGTCACCATCTTCGGGCCATTTGTTCCTTGCCAGACTTGGTTATTGGTCTTGAAGTAATAAGCTAGCCAGCCGTAGACGAAGTGCACGGGAAATGTTGAGTAAACGTGAGAAGGTTTTGGGGATGTCGCAATTTGGTTAAGTCCTTTGTAGACGCTTGCTAGAACCGGGACGGCTAAACTCACTTCCGATCCATTCGCCATAAGACTCGCCATCTTGAAAGTGCTAGGACGGATGGAGTGGATGTCGTCGTTCGGAAGGACGAAAAGAGAAAGCCAACACGCCAAGAAAGCCGCAAGATATGTTGAATCTTGATAACTTTCTTTGACGCCTAACTTCAAAAAGGGAGTCTTCTCTGCGGGGGACCAGTCCAGGTGACGGGAAATATCGCCAAGAGGATTGTGAGTCGACTTAGGATGCTCAGTGTCTGCACGGGTGGGTTTTTTCTCTACACGTGGAGGTGGGGCATCATACTTCTTTGCCTTCTTCGACCAAAAGTTGATCCAACTATCGACGGTGACTTGGGTGAATTGGCCGTGGCGGGAGTTCTCTTGAAGATGGTGGAAAGCATGTAGAAGGTGGCCGCACGAACGAGGAAGGAGTTTGAAGCCGGCCGTGTCAATGCCATTGAGTTCTTCAGCGCTTGGGACGACCTCATCGTATAATATCCCGGATATGGGCAGACCGGCGATCGCGTACAAGTCCCACAAAGAAATAGATAACTCGCCATGAGAAGTCAACAGTGTGTTCGTCCGTGGGCACCAAGCTTCGCATGTCGCTTTGATAATATTTGAGTTGCAGTCGTATGTGAACAGCGAGGCATAGACGGAGTCGTATATGTTGGCGGAATGAAGTTTGTCCTTGCATCGGCTAAGAATATCTTCGGCCCATTCCCAATAGCCTTTGACGTGGTGGAACTCGCCGAGGAACGTGGTGGGATCTTCTTTCCATGTGGCGTCGCCTTTGATGATTCGATGACCCAAGGTGGAGAATGACGGTTGTTTGCTTAGCGGCTGATGGTGGTGATGCTTTGCTTGCAATGCCCATGTCCTCGCCTTCCTGTTGGATGGAAGTTTTTGAGACCACTCCTTGAGGTGGAGGGAATTCGCCAATGTTGGCCATGGAGGTGAGAAGACGTTGATGAGTGGTGGAAAGACCGCTAGAGTCGTGCCTTCATCTATAGAACGGTGCTCGTCATCAAGTATCTTCAAGTGTCGGATGCCGCAAGGGGAAGAAAGGTCCTTGAAATGCACCATGGTTGAAGTTTGGATGTTGCGAAAATTGAACGAGTACCTACAACAAGTAAAGAAAAGCAAATTAATCATCTTTATAAAATAAAGGAAGGCCGGTAGCTTCCCGCTTCAGCCCGACCAGCTCCAAAACAGCCCCGTTTTGGCCCGAACAACTCCAAAATAGCCCCGTTTCAGCCCGACAACTTCCCGTTTCAGCCCGGTAGCTTCTCGCTTCAGCCCGACAGCTTCCCGTTGAGCCCGGTAGCTTCCTGCTTTAGCCCGACAACTTCCCGTTTCAGCCCGGTAGCTTCTCGCTTCAGCCCGACAGCTTCCCGTTGAGCCCGGTAGCTTCCTGCTTTAGCCCGACAACTCCCGAACAGATGCGTTTTAGCCCGAAAGCAACCAAATTGATTTGTTTTTGCTCTAACGATGTGCTTTGGCATAAAGGTAACAGAAAAAGAAAGAAACAAAGGAAATTATTGAAGAAATGAAATGATTATACCTTTCGGGTAATTGATCAAATACTTGACGGGCAGGAGTAGAAGATGTGGAAGTTGATGATAACTCTTTGATGTATCCCACCAAAAATCTAAAGAAAAACAGCAGCAACGCAAGATGCTTAGTAGCAGTAACAGAGATAATGAATAGAAGAAAAGAGAAAGCTAAAATACCTTTCGACTTGAAGGTAAGGAAAATACGAAGAGCTGGAGCCCTTTTTATAGATGGCGAGAAGCTGTGTTTGTCCCATAAGGATAAGGACTTTGAGTTTGAATATGAAAAGGATTGAGAATCCTTGTCAAACTATCTTTCAGAAACAAAAGAACTCTGTTATTGTATCGTGCCTACGTTTTATTCATGGAGCTCTTAAATACACTTATCCAATTGGTAAAGCACGTGGGAAAATAGAGCACTCAAGAGTTCGACTTTCAAAGGAATTAAGAGCCCAAGGAAAAAATAAGAATAAAAAAAATAATAAGATCAAGTCTTTGGAAGAAAAGCATACAGAGTATATGGGGAATCCTAATGCTTGCATGTTTGAGGAAAGAATAAAAAATGAATGACTTGATTAAGGGCTAAATTAAGTGACGTGGCTTCTCGGGCTTGAAAATTGGGTAAAGATTTTGAACCAAAGTCAACCGAGTCTGGGTCATGGGACTTGGAAAAGAAATTGGTTCTTTTGGGCCTAATTCCCATGAATAATGACTTG